GGTGCCACCGGCCTCTCCCCCGAGAGTGGGGGTGCCACCGGCCTCTCTCCCGAGAGTGGGGGTGCCAGCGGCCTCTCTCCACATGTGCCACTTTTCCATGACTGCAATCTCTGGGATTTCTGTTCTTAAAAGTGCTATGTTTTTGCCAAAGAGTGTGGTCGCCTTTAACACATAAAACCGAGTTCCAAGCCACGACACGTGCTCCACAATACTGAACCATCTAGAAAGGCAGCCAAAGAGAAAACCCTGTGATACTGCCCTGAATTAACACTGGAAAGGTAACGGGGGCTGGACTGACACGTCATGATGGGAAGGTCTTTGTGATTTGCTCAGACTAGTCACTGAGTGAACATGCCAGCTAAGCAGACTACAGTGAAAAGAACACTTGGAATCTACTCCTGGCTTGGCTAAAAAGCCATGCATGCAGCTTTGACGCACTTACTCGGCCTCACCTGAAAAACAATCGACGCTAGGTGATGAGTAAGGTTCTTCTAAATCTTTATTTTATTTTTTGTCAGCTCTTTCCAATTCCATCCATCTCAACTGAAGTTCCACTGCTTCTAAAGTGTGATATAAGCTGCCTGAGACCTAAATTGTTAAAATGTTGACTTACTTCACGCTGAGTGGCTTTTATGTCATCCGCTGAACACCCTAACTTCTCAATTCTCCCTTCAGGATGAAAGTGACCCCATAGAGAAGTCACAGAGGCCAAAACCTATGGGTTCGCGTGTTCAGATTTTTCATTTACAGTTTACTAGGTTGCGTTGGAAAAATTTTTAAAAATCTTAATTCCCATTTATTTTTTAAAACCTTAATTCCCGTTTGTGAAATAGAAATAGTAACACAAGGCCTTTAAATAAAGCCCATAGTCTTTAAAAAGGAAAAAAGAAAACTAGGTCAGGCGCGGTGGCTCACGCCTGTAATCCCAGCACTTTGGGAGGCTGAGGCGGGCAGATCATGAGGTCAGGAGATTGAGACCCATCCAGGTTAACATGGTGAAACCCCGTCTCTACTAAAAAGAAATACAAAAAATTAGCCGGGCGTGGTGGCGAGCACCTGTAGTCCCAGCTACTCGGGAGTCTGAGGCAACAGAATGGCGTGAACCTGGAAGGCGGAGCTTGCAGTGAGCCAAGATCGCACCACTGCACTCCAGCCTGGGCGACAGAGCGAGACTCCAAGACTCCATCCATCTCAAAAAAAGAAAACAAAAACAAAAACAAAACCACACACACAAACATGAAGTCACTACGCGAGAGAAAAGGGAGGCATGCTGTTAGAACCATTTTAATTTCATCTGCCCAGTGGTATCTGGGAAAAAAGATATAAAGTAGGTCTCTTCTAAACAATAAAGATGGGCTTCATCCACATCTTCCTGAAATTTCTAGAAACTGAAATGGGTGGTCGGGCATGGTGTCTCACGCCTGTAATCCCAGCACTTTGGGAGGCTGAGGCAGGCAGATTACCTGAGGTTGGGAGTTCGAGACCAGCCTGGCCAACACGCAGAAACCCCGTCGCTACTAAAAATACAAAATTAGCCAGGCATGGTGGCAGGTGCCTGTAATCCCAGCTACCTGGGAGGCTAAGTCAGGAGAACTGCTTGAACCCAGGGGGCGGAGGTTGCAGTGGGCTGAGATGGCACCATTGCACTCCAGCCTGGGCTAAAGAGTGAAACTCTATCTTAAAAAAAAAAAAAAAAAACACCCTAAAATGGGCAGCTGAGTACATGTGAAGCTAACCTTGTCCTAAGAAGCGCCCAGTGCTTCTCATGAGCGAATATCCCTACAATCCTTTTTACTTCTTTGGCCTTCATTTTCCTCATGTAATAAATAGGACTAACGGCTTTCTAATATCTACTCCCTTCTTGCAGTTACATCAGATGACTAAGGAATATCAGGTTCTCCAAGAAAAGTGCTTTACAAATAAGCATCTGATTACTAGCAGACAGCCACAAAATGTGAAGACATTAAAATCAGGAGCGGAATTCCTACAGAAAGTAATGGGCAAAAGCTAGGGCCGCTACTCCCAATTACTTCCTACATTTCTTTTATGGAACACAAAGAAAAAATAATTAAGGTATTTCCAGTTATTGAGTTACAGAGCAGACGCCGGAAATGTTCCTTGGATCAGTAATGTCCCCATCTCCACCCACCGAGTAGGGTCAGGCTCCTTGTCCCTGAATGCTTCAGTATATTCCTGTCTTGAACAATTCTTTCTCTTGAAATAGCTCAAATAATAGAGAAAAGGGCTTGTATGGTTCTTTCCTGTCTGACACACGCTAGGTATAAAGATGGCATCTGCTACAGTTGGAAGGGTGGAGCTAAAAGCAGTTCCCCAAGCAGGATGACCGCCGAGCGGGAGAAAGCTTGTTACATGAGAAGTGCAACCAGCAGCTCCCACGTGAAATGCTGTGGGCTTTGCAGACACAACACAAACAGCTCTGCTACCAGAGTGCTCAAGGGCATTAATTCCGAAGAGCAGGCTTATGGTCTGGTCGGTAACAGTGAGGCTCCTCACTGTGTCACTCCGAGAGTTACATAAGCCGGTGGGTGCTCCGCCCAGTTGTCTTTTCACCAAACCAAAACCAGTAAGTTATGTAACAATCCTAAAAACACCGTGGCACCAGGATTTTTTTAAAATACAGCCATGAGAAAAAAGGAATTGACAGGGCAGACAAGATAGAAGGTTTGACCTACATTAAATTAAGCCCAAACAAATCCTCCCTTTCTGAGGCTGGAAGGAAACAGAGGACGAACTGCCACCACCTTGGGACATTTAAAATCCAGGATGGTCTCATTACCCTGAGCCTGCGGCAGACGGATCTGCAGCTGCCAGCGGGCATGACGGGAATGACAACCGCGTGGTGACCGGGGTGGGCATAAGCTCGGCAAGGATGCCGGTCATCTCTAAAGACAGGGAAATGCAGAGCAGTACCTTGGTGCCCTGGGAAGGAAACGCTTCTTCAAAATCAGCCAGGATTTGCTGTCCTAACTCAGTCTGCGCAGCCTTCACTCTGTGAGGAAGAGAGAACGTATCATCAGCTGGCATAACATCCTTATGTCAGTACACACCGATCCACAGGGTCAAAAGGGCTGAAGTCTTTCCAGAAAGGCCAGGAAGGGTCCAGAGACATCCACGAGGTGAGAGGTCACACACTAGTTAAGTGGCAGGTTGACGAGCAGGACCTAGGCACCCAAGGTATTCTCAGGGTGAATCTTCTACATCCCCAAAATTCTTCTAGGCCAACCCTTTCCCTGAGGTCGTATGTATTAATCTTTACACAGTTCCACTGGGGGGTAGTCGTGCTGTGGGAAAATGTTACAGAATCACATCCGCATCAAATATAAATCTAGTCAGGCACGGTGGTTCACGTCTGGAATCCCAGCATGTGGGAGGCTGACGTGAGAGGGTCGCTTGAGGCCAGGATTTCAAGACCAGCCTGGGCAACCTTACAGAGATCCAGTCACTACAAAAAAAAAAACTAAAATAAAAATTACCCAGGTGTGGTGGCACACACCTGTACTTGGGAGGCTGTGGTGGGAGGATCTCTTGAGCCCGGGACTTTGAGGATACACAGAGCTATGATCACACCACAGCACTCCAGCCTGGATGACAGCGAGACCTTGGCTCTCAAACAAAACACTAACAAACAACAACAAATAAATCCATTTTGGATTACTGGTGTAACCGCTGTCCTGCTCCTGGAGTACAGAATGGGAAGAGGGCTCCACAGTGTTTTAGGGTGTTTTGTAAAAAGTTATTATGGGTATATAATCATTATATATATATTTATAGGGTACCTGTGAAGTTTTGATACAGGCATATGATGTATAATGATCAAATCAGGGTAACTGGGGTATCCACCACCCCAAGTTGTTACTTCCCTGTGTCAGGAACATTCCAATTCCAATCTTTTATTATTTTTAAACATACAATAAATTATTAACTGTAGTCGCCCTACTGTTCTACCAAATACTAGATCTGATCATTCTAACTGTATTTTTGTACCCATTAGCCGTCCCACTTTCTCCCCGCCTCCCTGCTACGCTTCCCAGCCTCTGGAACCCATCGTTCTACTCTCTATCTCCATGAGTTCAGCTCTGAAAATGTTCAGCTCCCACATACGAGTGAGGACGTGAGGAGTTTGTCTTCCTGGGTCTGGCTGATTTCATCTCACATCACCTCCAGTTCCATCCATGTAGTTGTAGTGTTTTGGGTTTCTTGTTAATCCAGAAACCAACAAGCTCATAAGTTTTTAAACAAATGAATGAAGAGAATGTCTTCTATAGTAAAAACAAAAAGATACAAGTGACAAAATGAACTGCTAAAGGAAAGTGGGGGCCACTGAACGATGATTTAAGTTCAGAAGTTGGTGAATATGAAAATGGAACAGCAAGCAAAACGAGTTAGAAAGGGGAGGCCGGTACTCCACAGTGGCTGCGAGTGTACTAGGAGCTCAAGAACCACGTGTGGACTTGAATGCAAGGGCAGAAAGGAGAAGCGGCTAGGATAGAAAGCAGCCGTGGATCACGCCCGGCGATCAATCACGCCCCCGCCATCGGTCACGCCCCCGCCATCGATCACTCACCCCAATCGATCACGCCCCCACCATCGATCACGCCCCCACAATCAATCGTGCCCCCGCCATCGGTCACGCCCCCACCATCGATCACGCCACCGCCATCGGTCACGCCCCCGCCATCGGTCACGCCCCCGCCATCGGTCATGCCATCGGTCACGCCATCGATCACGCCCCCGCCATCGGTCACGCCCCCACCATCGATCACGCCCCACAATCGATCACGCCCTGCATTCGATCACACCCCGCAATCGATCACACTCTCTGCATCCCCCACCAGCTGCCACCAGCCAGCCTAGCAGAGCCAGAGTGCAGCAAGACTCTCAGGCCCTGCTGGACTTCCTGAGCCTGAGGCAAATGCCGTCTGGTTGCCAAAAATGCCTTAAAAGAGCACACTTCCATTCTTGGTCTCCACCCTGCTCCTTCAGAATCAACTTTATGAAGCTTCTAGAAATAGCCAACAGCTCAAAACCACAATTTCTTTGGCTGCTAAGGAGTGTCTGGCAACCTGCTGAGATCTTCTTTTCAAATGAGGGGATAGGCATGACCCAAAACAGTCTGTTTTTTCTGTGGCATGGTTATAATTACGCCTTATTCCAAATACCTTCCAAGGTTTTTCCACTATCTTCAAAACTTTTAAAATCACTCTTAGAGGTGGCTTTGTAGCCTTTTGAGTCAGTTTTCAAGGGGGCCAGAAATGATCCAGATGAGGCTATTACTGGAATAGCCCCCACCTCCAGATCGGAATCAGGGCCATACATCTAGAGCTGTCCAACAGACAATGGGAGACATTCCTTGCCTGTGAACTTTGACATGAGAGAAAAGAATAAAATTGTACTTCGGAGCTTCTTGTGATTCCCACGTCATGAGGCAGCACACAGCCTCCTGTGGTGCCAGGTCACAAGACAGCTTCCAGAGGCGTGGGCCCTGTGTTCCTACCTCCTCCTTGGAAGCACACAGACAGCATCAGTTCCCTCCCAAGCCACAGGGAACTTACAGCAGGCGCTTTTCATGGTTAGAAGAGGAAGGAGTTCTCTTCACAGGGGAAGTGCCACCACTGGCCAGAGCACCCACAGTCACAGTCTCAGGACCACTGACCATCTCAGTGACACTGGTGGGCCCGGCTCTGCCTCTGGCCCGAACTACTCCCTACTCCATATTCTTGGTGACTCTGAAACTGAGGTGGCAGAAAGGAGAACCACAGCCTGTGACGGCACGTGGTATCACCAGAGACAAGAAAGAGGGAAAATGACCAGCCTCTGATCTGTAGACCTCCTTGCCAAGTTCTTCATTTTCAAAGTCACCTCCTGAGATGGGCGAGACCTGGCTATGTGACTAGTGAACCACGTAATCATGTCACTTCCTCTCCGTGGGTCACAACTTCGAATAGCTGTGAAATAAGAGGGTGGGGCGAGCAGCCAGTACTAGATGATTCTACGTCCTCTCCAGTGCTGATTATTCCACAACACCCATCTTACGGTGCTGACTGGCTTCACAGGTGGCTACAGGTTAGATGTGTGCTTAATCCTGGAGCAGAAGGATACGCTTCTGCATATAAACGTCAATGTTTCCAACAGCAGGTTTTTTTCTTTTCTTTTCTTTTTTTTTTTTTTGAGACGACGTCTTGCTCTTGTCCCCCAGGCTGGAGTGTAATGGTGTAATCTTGGCTCACTGCAACATCCACCTCCTGGGTCAAGTGATTCTCCTGCATCAGCCTCCCGAGTAGCTGGGATTACAGGCGCCCGCCACCATGCCTGGCTAATCTTTTGTATTTTTAGTAGAGATGAGGTTTCACCATGTTGGCCAGGCTGGTCTCGAACTCCTGACCTCAGGTGATCTGCCCACCTCGGCCTCCCAAAGTGCTGGGATTACAGGCATGAGCCACCGCGCCCGGCCTCTACCAACAGCAGTTTTTGAAGTGGCGATCAATGATTCAGATGAAAGAGCACCCATTCCCTCAGAGACATCACTGATGGTATCCACAGACCCAAACCTCAATCCCAAGCACTTTCAGGGTGAGATGTGAATTGCAGTCTTCATAATCAATTGCTTAAATAGGATTCTAGAAAGAAGTCAACAGACTTGAAAGAATGTATCTTTGGCCTCATTCCTTTAAACTCCTTTCTCTTCTAACCATGAAAAGTTCCTACTATAAAGAGGTAGCTCTACTGATAACCGTCAGCAAAGCAGATATATGTGCTGAACTATCAAGATTTCCTAGTCATTCCTTTCTCTTCAGACTGGAGTACAGTGGTACATTCATGGCTCGCTGCAACCTCAACCTCCTGGGGTCAAGTGATCCTTCTCTCAGCCTCCTGAGTAGCTGGGACTATAGGTGTGCACCTCCATGCACAGCTAATTCTTGTATTTTTTGTAGAGATGGAGTTTTGCCATGTTGCCCAGGCTGGTCTCAAAATCCTGGGCTCAAGCGATATGCCCACTTCAGCCTCCCAAAGTGCTAGGATTACAAGTGTGAGCCACTGCGCCAACTGATTTCCTAGTCATTCAGAAATCATGAGCTGGGCAGGCCTGTCCATTTCCAGGTTGAGTTCTGTTTTCACTCCACCATGAGAACTGCTAAGCCTTTCTCACAGTTATAAGAGGTTAGAAATGGCTGTGAAAAATATATTTTAGTTCAAGAGTTTCATGGTTTTCAAGAGAATATAAGAATCTTCCATTCTTTGTTGGGAAATAACTAACTGATGACTAGAAACATTCACTTTCATGGGCATGTTTAGGCCAGGAGGATTTGAAATGTAAAGACACTAAAGAAAAAACTCTTTCCTTCAACGCTACAGCAAGCATGGAAGCATTTGCCAGAAAGGTAGTTGGAAGAATCAGCTATGCTCGAATCCAAGGCTCATGAACTTCCATTTCAAATGTGCAGGCAAAGATTTCAGAACACAACTTTTCACATGACTTCTACAATTTACAGACAGCAAGACAGTAAATTCGAGAAACGGAAGCAATGCAGAGGGTAGTAACCTGCCTGCCATCTCCCGCCCCTCACAATAAATAGCTATACCTATCATTTCCAGATGGTTCTACCACCACCACGTAAACATAAGGGAAGAAAATTCACCAGAAAAGATGCTAAAAATAAGAAGTCTGGACTTTTCTCAAACTTTTAGTACCTCTAAAAAAAACAATTCTAGTCAAGCACTGAAAATAAGAAGTTGTCTCCTCTGGCTCTTTTTAGTGTTACTTTTTTTTTTTCTTTTCCTGAGACGAGTCTGCTCTCTTGCCCAGCCTGGAGTGCAGTGGCACAGTCTCGGCTCACTGCAGCCTCCACTTCCGGAGATCGAGTGATTCTCCCACTGCAGCCTCCCGAGTAACCGGAACCACAGGCACACACCACCATACCGGCTCACTTTTTGTATTTTTGGTAGAGACAGGGTTTCACCATGTTGCCTAGGCTGGTCTCAAACTCCAGA